AGCCAATGTGGCAAATGCGGCTTCGAAGGGCAACGTTAGGAAGCGGAGACCGTGCCGCCGTGCCCGGCGCCGAGCGAGCCGCGCTCACCCACGCGCGCGCCAACACAGGCTGCCCCCGGAGCATGTGCAGCGCAGCCAGCGCGCCGCGATCCGAAAATGAAACCGACCCAAACTCCTCGCCGCTACTCTCCATGCCAGGAAAACGCACGCCAGCAATGTAAATAGGAAATTTGATTTACGTGCCGGCTCTCCCAGAAACAACTGTTCCCCGACCGGAGGAAAAGCAGCCGGCGGCACTTTCAGCTCCCTTTTTATAAGCACAACGCTATTCAAAATTCACCCCGAGGACTATTTTCAGGAGGGAGTGAAACGAGGGGCTGGGAGACGCCCTCGCCGGCCCCGCAGCTCCCGGCTTCCCGAGTGGCAGAAATACAAAGTTCCCACAATCCCAAGAGCGGGAACATTGTTCCTTCCCAGGATGTCCTCCATGAAAAGAGCTATTCTGAGCCGGCAGCGGCCTTTCTTGGCACGGTCCCGCAGCCCGCTCGCGAGGCAGCTATAAAAGGCCGGGTTACAATGAACGGCACTTTTCAATGGGAGAGCATCCGGTGCGGGGAACTCGGGGGGATGCAGGTCCCCGGGGGAGTTTGGGGGGATGCGCATCCCCGGGGAGGTGGCGGCCCACCAGGGGTGGGCTCACAAGGGCTGGGTGATGTGGAGCATCCCCCTGGGATGGTGCCGGTGCAGGACCGTGGCCCCTCTCTGCATCCCGATCCCTCCAGGACCGGGGTGGTGGATGCCGGAGGACCATCTGGATGTGACCCTGGGTTGAGAGCACAGGGCAACGCAGCGATTTGGGGACGGCCATGGGGACGCTTAGCCAGGCAGGAGGGGCTGGTGCAGGGGGAGAGGCAGGAAAGGGTCCAACCGCAGCCTCCCAATGCGGGATACGGAGGGGTGATGGAGGGGAGCGCCCCGATTTCGCCCTCCTCGGAGATGAGTCGCAACACGACGTGCTGACGGCACGTCCCCTGCCCTGGGCACGTTCGCTGCAGCGCGAGCGCAGCCATGGAAAGCACCCCCGACCCCACGCTCACGGAAAGCCCCACCAAGTTTTATCGCCGCCCTTCAGCCGAGCCTCTTCTCCCTTCTAGCAGCCCGCTTTCACCAGCGGGGTAAATAGCGCTGATTTACCCCCGGCGGGAACAGAAAGCCCCAGGCCACGCACCCAGGGCAGCACGGAGACTCCACAGGAGGCAAGGAGGGCAACGGGACCCCTATCACCCCCCCAAAAACCCAGCACCCACATATTTACAGCATGACTATAAAAGCGCAGAGGCTGTTTGTGCGTCAGGCCAGCACAACCCCCGGCAGAAACTGCCCGGCACTGTCCTGCTCTGCTCTCTGGCAGCAGCTTCCTGCGGTGGTGTGGATTCTCCAGGGTCTTGTAGAAGGTGACGGCACAGCACCGTCGCTCCCTGCGACCTGCCAGCTGTTTCCAACGCCGGCTGGAGGACCCCAGGGGTTCTCAGGACCTTCCCTCCCTCTCCTTCAGCTGAACTGAACCAACAAACTCAAAAGCAAGAGAGGAGCTGGTCAGACAGATCCCACCGTACACTGACGTAGGCTGTTTTCTTAGGAAATCAGGTCAAAAGCCAGGAGGTTTGAGGGGGGCTGGTTTTGCTCTCCTATTCCCACTCTCTCACAAGACACACACCCGCCTTGTTTGACCGCTTGGCACTACACAACTTGCTGTATTAAAGGCCAGAGCTGGCCTTAACCTACAGCTCTGCATGGGCTGAGC